AAAACAATTCGTACTTTTTCGAACAGAATTCTCAATCAAAAGTTATGGACTAGAATCCAATTTCGAAAGAAAATTCAAAGGGCTGTAACTTGTGAAGTAGTAGTCCAATCTTGGAACTGTTTGAAATTATGGATACTACAGGCCACATTCTATAAGACAATTTTTTTCCGGGTCGATCTGGGACAATTTTTTTTCGGGCCTCAAAAAAAAACCTTCCTTTTTTACCAAAAATCGACTGCACCAAAATTTCTCGGGAAAACACTTTTTCTTATTAATTTTGGTGCGTAGAATCCAAAACAATTCGTACCTTTTCGATCAGACTTCTCAATCAAAAGTTATAGACTAGAAACCAATTTTGAAAGAAAATTCAAAGTGCTGTAACTTTTGAACTAGTAGCCCAATCTTGGAACTGTTTGAAATTATGGATTCTACAGGCCACATTCTATAAGAAAATTTGTTTTCCGGGTCGATCCGAGACAATTTTTTTTCGGGCTTAAAAAAAAAGCTTTTTTACCAAAAATCGACTACACCAAAATTTCTCGGGAAAACACTTTTTCTTAATAATTTTGGTACGTAGAATCCAAAACAATTCGTACTTTTTCGATCAGAATTCTCAATCAAAAGTTATGGACTAGAAACCAATTTTGAAAGAAAATTCAAAGGGCAAAATATGGGCATGTAGCACATCGATTTTAGGGTTTTTAAGCCTTCTGAATTTAAATTTTTAGTTAAAAATATTTTTGGGGGCATTTTGGAGGAGTGGGGGTGTTTTTAAGGGGTTGATTTTTAAATTTTTTTCAATATTAACGTGCCGTACAACGATTTATATGTTTTTAAGGATAAGGATACCGAATTCCATATCAAAATAGAGGTACAGCAAGTTATTCAATGTTAAAAAAGTAGAACAACGCCGACAGACGGCCCGAAAATAACATAAAACGCGCGGTGCGCCGCGCCGCGCCCGCGCTGCACAACGACATCATTTTAATAAAAAGATAATAATTATACCAAGCGCGATACGTCTTTTTATAGGTTTTTTGGGGTGGACGTGGAGATTACAATTTTGATGTCAAAATATGATTTTTGAATAAATCCTAGAAAGATATACAAGATAGCGTCAAAATTTATAGAGTTAAAAAGTTTACCATTTACTCCAATACCCTTACATAAATATATCTCCATCACACATACCCCATCTTGCAAAAAAGATACCATCTAGCTAGTCCAATACTCCTACCTAAATATCCCCATCCCACATATCCCAATGTATAATTGTGCAAATAACTACTAATATCAAAGCAAAAGTTTTGGTTAGTAGTAATTTTCACAGTTACAATATTAACTTTTTTTCAGCATTTGTTTTTTCAGGAACGGGATTTTTTATTTCTGAAATTATTTTATATTGAAATAATTTAAAACACATTTTTCTTTTTGCAAGACTATCAACGCCAGGATGGAAACTAAAAGTGAACATAAAAAAAGTGCATATTTCAGTGTGAGAAATCCGAACAGTTAGGTAATGACCATCAGTGAACAATGACTTCAAACAATAATTAGTAGAGAGCGGATTTATAAGCTTATAAAATTAAAAAAAAAGCGCTTAGAAAAGCACAACAAAATTAAAAAAAAGTTTTATTTTTATGCAAAAAAGCATAATGTTTCATGAGTACCTAGGTAGGTAATATATTTCAATCCTATTCCTTAAACAGTAAGTTAAATTTAAATTGATCATTCTGTTTTGAGGAGGATGCCAATTTCATATGCTTACAGTTTTTGCACATGCTCTGCAAAACATTCTACGGTTGTCGGTTTTTAACTCTGGAAATCCTTGTATCCAATCATTGACCAATCTAGCATTCAGCAATTAACACTTAAAAATGTCATCTAAATGCAATAATGAATACCTACTACTAAAAAAATAGAAGATCAAATATCTGAGACAGTGAGACGTCAGACCTATATGTACACGTCAGCCATATAATGTGTCTGTAGCTTAAAATAACATTATGCCTTGAAGTGCATTCATGCTTAATCCACTTTTTTTAATCGTTAATTAATGGGAAAAATACCATATTACGTTGTGAATTGAATAAAAAGCTTTGAAAAGCATATAAACATTATAATAAGCACAAAATGCCAAAAAAGCAAAATAAGCATAACAAAGTTTTACTATACGATTTCAAATATCAAAACTAGATTATTACTTTGAACAATTCTAACATGCTTACAGTATTCACAAAAAGCATAATACCTAGAAATCCGCTCTCTAATAATTAGTGCGTGCTACCAACAACGTGAAGATGAAACCCTGAGAAATTGGATTGATGACCAGCAGAGACTAGAGATCCATGAACTTTATTGTCATCGCTCTTGTGTGTCGACATACCCCTCCAAGATCCACATTGCCAGATTGTTCAAAATAAGTAGGAGACAAGAAGTATCTAAACCAACAGAAGTGCTCATTTACTGCGTTCGATTTTAGAGAAGACTGCTTCTTGTGCACCGAAAAATGTCGTGAAAAAGATCCTAAAAACCCAAGCCGATTTAACGAATTTTATATTGTACGAACATTGGACATAAATCAAAACATTCTGAAAGCCTTTGAAAAATGATAAGAAAAATGGGCAGAAGAAGTGAGATCTAGGATCGTTCAAGCGCCAAGTGACCTCCATGCAGCAGATGCAAGGTACCATTCAAATTGTTTAAAAAAATTTATTGACCACAAAAATATCACCGTTGCCCAAAATAAAACTACTTTTCAAGAATCAGAAAGCGAAGAATCGGACAACGAGTAAATTTATGTTTATCTGCAATATTTTTTTTGCTTTATTTTTTGTTTAAAAATGTATTGTATCTGTAAGTCATGTATTTGAGTTTGAGTTAATATATTTATTTTTTTGCAGCCCCCTCCCCTCCAAATAATTAACAAATAAACAGGAGTTTCTGTTTTAGTACCTATTTTGATCTGAAACGAGACTCTTATTCGTAAAAACATATAAATCGATGTACGACTCGTTCATATTGAAAAAATATAAAAACCAACCCCCCAAAAACACCCCCCACTCCACCAAAACGCCCCCAAAAATATTTTTAATAGCAAATTTGAATTCAGAAGGCTCGAAAACCCTAAAATCGATGTGCTATATGCCCATATTTTTTAAAACTTTAATTTTTGTATTTTTTGGCTGACTTTTTTGTCCGCCATCTTGAATTTCTCAAAATGCTCAAGGGTGTCAAGGTGGCATCAAACGGATTCTCAAAGTAGACATCTTTACGAACTAAAAACCGTCAAAAAACCTTCACCGTACCTCACTTCCAGGTTAAACCAAAAATCCCAGTTTGGCATCCAGACTATAACAAAAGGCTCACTTCTTACGCCAGCTTCAGTTCCTCTCCAAATTCTAAAATTCGAAACTCTTCATCCAATTAACGGACACGTATAGCGCAACAGCCAGTTCCGCCTACGTTCCTTGTTCTTATTCTTAGCGTCACGTATCAATTTTTTACGTGAACCTCTTTTATCTCAAATAACAATTTTCTATACGAAAAATACGCAATTGTTTGCCCAATTAAACGCATTGTTATAGCTAATAAATCAACTATTGCCCATAAATTCAAACTGAACTGTCACTTAAATGATTTACCAAAGCACAATTGGTAATACAATAAACAATAAATTGCCCTGCATTTAACAATTCTAGGAATTACTCCTGTACAAGGAAAAACAAACGACTTGGATACAACTAGAAACGCAATAATCGTTTATGTTTATACGTAAAAAATCCAACAGTCACCACCTGAACGTTTCTCTGATTGCCGAGGAAGCGGCACAGCTTAAAAAAATTGCGGAAGGAAGCTAAAACTTACGAAAACACGTTAAAATAAAAATGCATACTTCTATTCTATTGATGATTCTAGGGAAGTCAAAGCATATGAAGAATCCTAAGAGATGAATTGAAAGAAGGAAAGGAATAATCAAATGAGTCTTCGGAATCTGAATATCCGAAGAAGCTGAACGAACTGAAAAAAAAGTAAAATCTGATAGAACGGAAGAATGTGAAGAATGACAAATAAATAATTTTGAAGAAGTTGAGGAACTTGGAGTTGAGTCTGAAGAAACTGAAAAACCCTAGGAAAACCTAACCAACCTGAAGAAATCAATGAATCTGAAAGCAGTTCATTTATCTCCAAACTCGGTTCTCAAGGGTGTCATTCCTGGACCGGTCGAACCAGTACGTTACTGATTAGTTTAAACAATCATCTGAGCACGATGCTAGAGGAAATGGTAAATACTCGTTTGATTTGCATCCAGGTACAAACGATTAGTAACGCTCTAAAAGTGATAACTGGGCGTCATTAAATCATTAAAATTCCGATATTTTTGATTGTGGTTTGAGTTACCCCAACCTATCCAACATTTTCTTTATAAAACAGGACATTTAACGCGTCAAGGTTGGCAATAAAATGTCATCGCCTCACATCTCAGAGAATGACGGATCCATTATCCGCTTGACAAAATTTCAAATGATGCTGAAAAACGAGGTTTTTAATCTTGATACACAAAAAACAGTCGTGACTGTAAACATGGCAAGCTGAGCGGGACAGCAATAATTACTAATAAAAAGACAAGGATTTACAATAGAATTGTGCGGCCTTTACCCCTCGTTTTATGCGTTATATAGTGTATCCCACACGAAGGAGAACCGCGTCCTTATTAAGTAGAATATCATGGGCTTTTTGACAGCGTCTTCCTAGTTAATAATGATGATAGGTATATCTGTTTTGGCTGCTTATCCGCAAAGACATGCCTAACTATTTTGTAGCCCAAGATGACTTTTCCTTATTCTAGGATAAATTATAGCAGTAGAAATGCGACCTTCCGTTTTTAATAGAGTGTAGTAATTGCAAAGCACCCTCCATTTGCTTCATAAGGTTTAATTCCGTTCCGTCTCGTAAACATAGCTATAAACCAGTTATAGGTAATAAACTATTGTTCGCCTAAAACATTTCAACACTTCACTTTACTAAAAAGTCGTGGTGAATCCAGACCGTAATGAGCTTCTTGTTTATTACAATAGTCACTTTGTTAATAATTTACATACTACAGGTTTGCGCTGATGAAGGTAAAAGGTTTCAATAAAAACCAAACCTACCTTTTTAGCGCCGATGCCTTCGGGATCAGCATGCAAAGTATTTGGTATTAGTTTACCGATTCTGGAATGTAAGGCTAATTGTCAAAGTTCTCTTATATTATACAACTTCGGGGAGTGTGAGAATGGACTTTCGTGCTGTGTTCCAAGTCCTTGAAACTGTAGTTGGTAAAAATCAATAAATATAAATGATGTATGATGGTGTTTATTTTATCTAATTTTTCAAATTTTGATTTTTTAGCGTCAATTGACGAAGATCTGGATTGTGCTGTGGTTTAGTGAGTTGCACTAGTGTGTTGGATTGGTTCACGTCAAAAAGTTGACCACTGTTGCAGGTTCTGCATGCAGGTGATATTGTATATAGTCTTAATAAACATATTTTTCCAAAATATAACATACACAAAAAACATTAAAAAAAAATTAGAACAAGATTCAAATTTAAAATAATTGTTTTTTGGATCTTTTTGAATCACTTGAATTTTTTTTATATCATCCATAGTGTGTTACCTATATTAAAAAAATATTCCGACCGATTCTAAAACGACAGATTATTCAACAATCATTATAAAGATTAAGTAAAAAAATATTTTGTAACTGACAATTTTTATTTTGTACCGTTTCTCTGAAGTGAGTGAAAATTTTCAAATTTTAATGTTAACAAATTAAGTTAGACAGAAAAAGAGCACATAACACCTAATTACTTTTTGGATAGTAGGTACTCCCTATAAAAGTGTCGAAAATGGGACACCCTGTAAAACGCAAAACACTGGGTGCGAAACATCGCACAGTGCTTCCTTGAATATTGTTAATTCTAGCAGTTTTTTTGTATATATTTTAATATAAAGATGGTCTTGAATATTATTAATTTGTCTAAATTCCCAATATACAGGGTGGAAATTTGTCGCGGACACTGAATATATCCTTAAAATATTTTTTGAAATAGGTATCCAAAAATATAAAAAGGTTGCTACCAATCTGCGTACTTTAAATGCAGTGGCGGATTTAACGGTGGGCGTAGTAGGCCTTCGCCTACGGGGCCCCGGCTCTGCCCCGAAGGCCCTCGAGGCCCCTTAACTAATAAAAACTGTTTTTTCTGCGAGAAAAAAATGGTTTGGGTGGGCGCCCATCATATCTCATATAGAGTCGGAAGTCATAACAATAACACTGTTGGAATGCTTACTACCGATATCCTATCCTACTAATCCTATTGACAAATTACACTGAAGGGTTGATGAGTCATGCACATTGTAAGTCGTAACTCATAAACAATATCTATTTATAAACTCACAGTTTTGTTAATCCCTTACAGGTAGTTGTCTCTTGTTGAAGTGATTACAGAATATATAGGTACGAGTAATTTTGATATAGTTTTGTGAGTGAGTGGATTACAAAGATATCCCGTTTACGGACTTTTGATGCTTCTTTTCGGTAAGTGGAATCTTTATTTTTATAACAATGATTAGGTAATACTTTTGGGTACAATAACGTAATTAGTTTCTGAACTTTAAGATTTCGTAAAACTTCAAATTTTTAAACGGTGAGATGCCTAGAAAATTTGGTTTTACTTAAGTAAATACCTATGTTTATTTTATACAGATGTAGTTTTGTGTATTTACATTTAGGTAGACGATTTCAATATTTGATGTGCCGTTCTTTCAATTCTTAATTTAACATTTGCATTATATGTTGAATAG